TTTAAAACCTTTTTTTTTTGTACAAGACTGTCAGTAGGTGTCTAGAGGGGTTGCTGTAACAGATTGGTTAAATTTGAATTCAATGATATAAAATCATTGTATACGAAAAACGTTTTTTAGTGAAGACGGGCTATTACACGCCTTATACATATTAAAACAATATAAGTACTTATATTTTTTAATTAAAAATTAATTTTAGTTTTCGAGATTTTGACGAGTCTTGTCAAAACTCTTAGTACTTTTCCGATGCTCATAAAAAAAAATATTGCGAATTTATAACGTATTTAGTTGGTACGGAACTTTTTTTCCTTAGATTATATTAATTTATTAATTTCATAATATTTTTATAATAATTGATAAATAAAGCAGACGTAAAAAAAGGAATAGCAAATAGTAGAACAGTTAAAAAATAGGTAATGAATTGTTCAAAAAAAATAAATTTAAAGGTATAAAAAAGTTATTAATATTTTTAATTGTAATAATTTATTATGTTCATTATTATTTAATAGTCAACAATAATTATTAGGGTTGTATCGTATTAAAAAACAGTAAACAAGTAAAAGAACGTGAATTTTTCATAGTTGTAGGTATAGTCAGTAGGTACCACGGTTATCTACACAGGTTGGCGCACGCCACTATGATGCTAATGCAGACGTGTGGTCTATGCGGTGACCGTAGTGAACTATTAGCGCTAGTAGTCAGTGGGCCTACGTTTACATTTGTATGTACTGGGAAATCGAAGATTTTTTATTCAAATCGTTAATATCGTCCAAACGACTAAAAATACGAATTAAAAACATTACACAATTATTGTAGACCGTGAAAAGGTGATAAGAACACAACCGACACCTAACCTGGAGATAACATGATAACTGCACGAAAAAGACGAACAAAATAATTTTCTAATTTCGACAATATTGTTCTGTAATCTGTATGACTGTATGTCTTTTTGTCATTACTTAATTGGTAGTAGGTAGTTTTATTGCGATGGTGGCTAAGTGTTGTATAGTTGGATGTACTTCAGGCTACAAAAGCAACACAGAAAAGGTACAAAAAAATTAGTTAATTTTATAACAATTAGTTAGTTATTATCAGGGCTCGTAACTTCATGCACTAAAAAATGCATAAATAAGCATGCATTCATGCACTAAAAATTGTCAAAATATGCACTAAAATATGCACTTAAAAGTTCAAAAATATGCATTTATATGCATTAACATTTTTAAATTATGCACTCAAAATATGCATTATGTAAAAAAAACATGACCAAATTTTAAAATAATAAGAATAAATCCATACATTTTAAAAGTATTTTATTCATCCTAATTTTTATATATTTAACAGTCAAAATTAATAAAATAAAAAATAAAATTAATACTTGTGAAGTTCAAATAGCTTTGTCATCTTTATAAATTTTAATTAGGTAGTCAATTTTGTCTAATTTGTGTACACCCTTATTCAGCACCAGCAATGAAAACATTTGGAATGAAATATTAGGTTTTTCATTTTGGGATAATTTAGTAATATATATTTTATAAGTGGTTTTTTTATGTTTTCCAACAAGAGGGCGCATAAGTAGACAAAATATGGCATAAAACCATGGTTTCGTAATTCAAGTAATACGGCTTATTGAAGTGGTTTACAGTAAAAATACCTATTATAAAAATTGTAAAGTAGAACTTTTTTTACAATCGTAAGAAGCCTGATTTTCGATATTTTTATTAATTAGCTAAATAATTATTCAATAAAAAATTTAAAAAACCGTTATAATTTACCATGCGATATTGGACGATTGGAACAAGATATCAAAAACCGGAAGAAACTTTTCAAATATTTGTCTAAAAAATATTTTTATGAAATAATATGCACTAACGACTGTAAAAAATCAACTATATGCCAAATATGACTTTACACCCAAAACATGCAAAAACATGCACTATCAAACTTCATATTATTATTACTATTGTTATGAAACGGATTTGTATCTCAGTTAGCATGTTTTCCTGTGTGGCAAAAAAAACATGCAGATGCATGAACTTACGAGCCCTGGTTATTATATTCAATATTCAGTAGTATTTAAGAAATATTAAAATTAAGTAAAATTAAATTATCTAAAGATAAAATGTAAAGTTATGTTTGAATATAGCTTTAAATTTAGTTCATAAGTTGAAATAAATATAAATTATGTAAGTTGGTATATTATAGTATATGTATTCCTTTATTTATGTATTTAGCATCTGTTGGTGAGTTGAATATCAGTAAATCATTGGACAGTGATCATAATGCATCATCCAAAGCTGAATTAACAAATATATTACCTTTTTTTCATTATTTTTTTTTTTTTGGTTTTCAGGCTACAAGAATCTTTACTGGGATGAAAAAACAAAAATAAAATTATTATAAACTGTAAATTAGTTAGGTGTAAAATTAGTTATTAAGTATTAACCAACTACTAAATAGGTTTTATTACATAAAGAATAAGTAATGAACAAAGTAATAATAACATATTATGTTTATTTGATATTTTATTTTACAGATATTTTATAAATAAAATAAATTATAACTGGGTAAGAAAGACTTGTAGTCATTAATTATTATTTGCTGATGTCAGCCATTTAGAGAGTTTTTCGAAGTATAAGTCAAGTGTTGGGGGAATTATTTTTTTATGTAATTAAATTACATTAGATACTAATTAAGTACTCAGCTTTCAAATATAGTAATTAAAAAATTATAATTTATAATCACGATTAGAATTATTTCATTACGAGTGAACTCGTCCAGCCGGTAACCAGTTAGGCCTTGTGACTACTAGCGCTTTAGTTCACTGCGTTCGCCGCATCGACCATCGATAACACGCCGTGCGCCAACCTGTGTAGATAACCGTGGTAGGTACCTATAGTCACCAATGCGCCAAACTGCGCGCAACATTCTCTTATCGAACGGAGTATCATAGTGGCGGTATGCAATTTCATTATAATATGGTTAAAATGTTAAATAATATTTTATTTACTTACCCATTACTGTAAAAATGTAATTTTCATTTCTTAAAATTTCTTAAAATTTTAATCAATGTCAATAATATATAAATAAAAATATTCACCATAAATGTGTAATACAATACAATTTCAATAATATAATAATAATTTAAAACAAACTGTAACAATTGTACGTTATATTGTAAATTGTTTGTGCATCTTGAAAAAATACTCATAACTCACTTTAAAATAAAATATAATAAAATACCTATGAGGTTGTCTAGATAATACTTACCTTTAGATTATATAAGAGATAAATTCACTCTAATTTTTAAACTAACGGAACTGCACGTGTTCTGCTGAGCGTACAATTTGCTATGTCGTACGCGTGTAAGACAGAGAAAACATGTGCGCCCACTTACCATTTTTGGGCATTCAGGTTTTAAATGTTTGAAAGTCTACATTTTCCCTTATGGATAAAAAGTTTGTGACCACCACTTGACTTTCATTAAATATTTATATATTGATATGATGTGTAATGTATACATTCAACATTAGCAGTGCCGCAACTAGGTTTTGTGGGGCCCTGGTGCAAAAAATGTTTTGGGGCCCCTTTAACAGGCGTGTATACAAGGGGGGTTCTAGGGGTTCAAGCCCCCCCCCCCCCGGAATTTTAGGAAATAAGTTTTATTATTTGTTAGTTAAAAATTTTTGAAAATGTACAAGCAAAACAACCCTAAAAATTTTTTTTTGTGTACGCGCCTGCCCTATAACATACCCGTACCTGTATAATATAGGTATTTGTAACGGAGCTACCGAGGCCGATGCTCCGTCACTTTAATAATTTATACAAGTGGGCTCTTGTGTAATTACTCAATTTATTTTACATGAAAATATAGTTACAAATAAGAGGGTTTTGACTACTCACATTCCCGTGACTATCTGATACGGGTACGAGGTGGTCTTACACAACCGGGTATAGTATGTTTTTATTATACATTATCGGGACGGCCCGGGTGGCTATGATCAGCCCGCTCGAAAAAGTGGCGTTGATCACTAGGCCCGGGCGGAAAGCGTGGCCTAGGCAGGCGCGCTTGGGGGGACTGACTGTGCGTCGTGGGTGGCCCTGAAAAGGACCGTTTAAATTTCCACCGAGTATACGGGCTGATGCGTGGTTCTTTGACTCCTCTTTGACGCACTCCGGGTTGGTTGGTGGACTTGAGGATAGTCGTCGGCTCCTTGGACGATGGTTGGTAGCCAAGAGTTCGTATCGCTGCTTCGTATCGGGTCAGCCCCGCTCCACTGTCTTGATCCGTCGGCGTTGTCGGCGGCTGGTTATGTCGTCGTCCGATGGTCTGGACTGAACCGGTCGAGCTTGGGGCAGTCTTCACTAGCGGTGTCCGGTTGTGGCGGTCGCGGCGTTCCTCTTCGGTGTCGGTCGTTCTCCTCTTATCCTTCAATAGACGGCAGAGTGTGTTGATTTCTGAAGTCTTGATGTTTTGAAGGTTGAAAGAGTACTGTTGCTCGGTCGGTGAAATGTACCCGTATATATACGCGTTGACCGTTCCGAGCGCTATCTTCATTGGTGGTTGTCTTTGGTTTGACGGATGAATGTGACATCGATCTTATAGACTGTTAGGTATCATCGATGTCATTTTCACTCGGCATTTTTGTAATTTTTGTTATTGTTGAAATTACTTTACTTTGTAGGTGTTTGTTCCGTAACATATTCATAGATAAATCTTTGTTTACACTATTGTAAATTGTTTCTACATACTAGATGGCTCCTAGGCATCAGCCTTTATAACTGAAACTGAACCTGTTTTTGTAACCTTGTGATTTGAATACTCTATTTACAATTAGTTTATTTACATTATTCAAATGGTCCTCATTTATTAGGTACACTATTGCACCCAGTCAAGTAATTAAAAAATTGAATACAAACATAATTTAATAATAATAATACCTTATATTTTTTATTTTATTTTATTTTATTTTATTTTTTTTTTTTATTATATTACCATATTATTTACAACAATTTTTTTTTCTTGCCTTTTGATTAGGAAAATCATCAATAATTTTACTTACATTAAGTTCTTTAGTTCTTGAGCATTCTATATTTAAAATACTGATATTTGATAGCCTTTCTTGTCCCATTGAATTTCTTAGGTAGTTTTTTATTATTTTTAGCTTGGAAAATGAACGTTCTGCAGACGCAACAGTGACCGGTAATGATATAAAAATGATACAAGCAGTTAATATATCTTTGAAAAGAGAAGCCATATCATTTTCTAAAATATAATTTGCTAGATCTTTTATAGTTTTCATAGATGAAAGTGAATCAATTATAACTTCCTTTAAAGATAACATCTGTCTCGTAAAATCTGAACTTATATCTTTCTCGTAGTACAAAATAAAGTCATAAGTAGCCTTGACAAGGTTATCTTCGCTAGATTGTAGAATTACATGTGGATTTAAAAAGTTGAATTTATCAACTACTTTCTGTAAACCTATAAAGCGATTATTCAGCTGAACCAAAGCTGTATCAATCAATGGCAAAAATACTTTCACTCTGAGGTTTTCTTCGGTTATATCTTGTCTTTTGTCTCCATCTAAATCACCATAAAAATTTTTTGAGTATATTCGACGATGTTGATTATTGTTCACAGATATTCCCCAACTATTACACAAATTTGTTGCTGAAGCAACCAGTTCTTCATATTTCTCCCTCAAATTTTGAATTATTGAAATAGCCGATTTTAAACATTCACAAGCATTATCAAGGTTAGAATCAATTTATTGTAACTTTTTAGATACCTACCATATAAAATGGTCTTAAAATGTGTTCCCATATAGTAAGTATTAGCACAAACTCAAAAGATTCCAGCTTCTTTTTTAGACCTTTAGCTCTATTCATTTCTTCTTTCTTGTCACTTGTTAGCGTTATATTCGTTAAAGATTTTAAGACATCTCTGTAGCGATGCTTTAGAGCAAAAACTGCGTTATTGTTATTGAGATTCCCACCTTATTGTACATACTTTTTTTAAGACAGTTTTTGCTACATCATCGCCTAGCGCCAGAGAAGCCCATCTAGGAGCACTTTTACTAAAAAATAAAAATATGTCTTGAAGAATATCAAAACAATTTAACATTTTTGATGAACTTTTGGCCACATCTGACAAAACGAGATTCAAATTATGTGCAGCACAATGCACATATTATGATGCATTTGGAATTATATCAGAAATTCTTTTTTGAACCCCTGTGTAGCCACCACTCATTACTGAAGCGCCATCATATCCTTGGCCCCTACATTTGTTTATATCCAAGTTATAATTCTTCAAAACAGATATTATTAAATTAACATGATCTTCAGCTCCATGTTTATTTAGAGGGTAAAATCCTAGAAAAGACTCTTTACAATATAACTTTTGTTCTCTATAATCAACAACTACATATCGAATAATAATGCTAACTTGATCAATCTTAGTGATGTCTTGTGTTGAATCAACTATTATGGAGAAATGAGAATTTTAGTTTTTTATTTTTTTACCTTATAGCTTTTATTTTTTACCACCTACTCTCAAATTTACACTTAAGACTTTTATAAATTTCGGGGCCCCAATGTATTACGAACTGAGGCCCCTCGGTGGTGCTGTGCACCCCCGGTCCCCCCGCTAGTTGCGGCACTGAACATTAGCCAAGTACAGAAGTGCAGTATCATAGTTTGAATATTTATGAATCTAGTGTTAATAAACTGGTTGTTTTAAATAAGTTAAATTTATTTGTTGTTTATTTATCAATAATTTATTGTATACCTTTTTAGATTTTTCATGCAATTTGCACAATTGTATATTTTTAGAAATTAATTATTATATTATATTATGTTATCATTCATAATATAACTGACAATCATTTACAGAATCAAATAGTGTCGTGACGGTGAAAAGTGCCGCATTATCGTTTCACATTTTTTTTTTGTACCCTCCGTAAAGAAGTTTCACTTCAATAAACAATATGTAAAATCTTTTAAATATTATTTTTTTTCTTGTTGCTCACGTATATTTTTAAACTTCATAAACAAAAAACATTAATTTATTAATTTATTTATTTACTATCGATTCCCTTTGACAGCCACCCTTTAGAGTTAATTTTTAAAAACTACTTATAGCCTATGTTTCTCAAGGATAATGTAGCATTCTAATGATGAAAACATTTTTGAAATCGGTCCATCCGTTTTTGAGTTATAAACGGTATAACTAACCATTTTTTGAAATTTGTTTTATTTATATATTTAAAAAGGTTCATGATTCATAATACTAATTAGGTACTATAATATAATATGTATGAATGTGTATATGTATATTTGAATCTAGGAAAAAAGCCCCTAGCAACATTCATCCGAAAAAGAGCCCCGTCATATAGGAAAAAAAACTAAATACAATATTATCTTTTTTATTATGATTTATATGGTTGATTATAATCATAATATAATCATTACATTTTTCTATGTAACAAATCTGTAACATGAATCCCGGAATAAAAATCACCGGGAAAAAAAATCTCCGGAAAAAAAATCCCCCGACGAACGACGCCCAGAAAAAAAATCCCCAGACAACAATATCACTCAAGTCTCACAACCACATAAAAATGATTGAACAAATATTTTTTAAACACTAATTAGTATCTATAATTACCACATTATTAATATTTAATTACAAATATAGGTATATTCTGTATTATACTATAATATACTACCTATATATCATATCATTCAAAAAGTTAATCCCTGAAATAAAATATTACATTTTCTATAACAATTTGACAATATTGTAAGAACTTCAAATGTTACATATATACTTGGTACCACAAACTTAATTTTAGATTCTGAGCGGAGCGATGAATGTATTGGTTTTACAATGATGTATGTTTTATATTTTTTTATTTTTATATTTTTATATTTTTTTTTGTGTCTGTCATCACGTTTTAGGACAGTAAAAGTGCTTGGATTTTCTTCATCAGTAGCTTTTCTGATAGGAAAGTGGATCTAGTTGGTACTTTGGGGGGTCAAAAGTATAAATTTCCCAGTAGTTTTTACAAGTGCCGGGAAAAACAAAAGAAAAATTAAGGAAAAACGTTAATTTTTACGCAAAATCGGTTTTCCAAAAATCGATTTTGGTTTTTGGTGTAACTCTAAAAGAAATGAACGTATATACATGAAATTTTCACTGGTTGTTTATATTTGCATTTTCTGTACACGATCACATTTTCAAAATATTTTGATTTATTTTGAACTGTTTAGGGACATTTTCATTTTCCATTTTTTTTTAGTTTTTTTTCTAAAAATATCAATAAAATTTTATTTATTGGTTTGCGAAAGCTTGAAAATTTAATAGAAGGCTCCTAATATATTGTTTCAAAGGCAGATGAAAAATATTAAAAATCCTTAGTCACAATTTTTTTTTATAAGCATTTAAAGTTCAAAAATTGACAAAATATGGAAAAATCACGAAAATTAGCAAATTATTTTGAGTTAAGAATTCGTAAATATTTTTCTTTTTAAATCTAAGATTTGAAAATGAAACACAAGATTCCTTATAAGATTATCTACCTTTATCAATAAAAAAAATCTCTACCGGTCAGTTAAATTAAATTTTTATGAGCGTTTGAAATTCAAATTTTTACAACATTGGATATTCACTCGATTACTCATGTAGCGATTTCTTTATTTTGTTGCAATTCAAAAACGAACAACTGTAGATACATGAAAATTTCACTGAATGTTTAAATTAGCATTTTCTATACACCATACAATTTTGAAAATATTTTGACTCGTTTTGAGTTGTTTACGGACAATATTAAATTTCAATTTTTTTTAGTTTTTTTTTTCTATAAATATCAATTTAATTGTATTTGTTGGCCCAAAAAGTGTGAAAATTTAATATATGGCTCCTGATATATTGTTACAATAGCAGTTGAAAAATATTAAAAATACATAGTCGCGATTTTTTTTATAAGCATTTTAATTTTGAATTTTGACAAAATTTATCAAATTAAAGATTTAAAAATTGATAAAATGTTCAATTTTTATAGCTAAGGATTGAAAATTTAGGACAAGGTTCCACATAAGTAGGATATTATGTAACCAAAATATCTAAAAAATTTAAAGTTATTTTATGATCACATTTGGACGAAATTACATATTAAATAACCAAGAAAAACGATTTTAGTTATTTTGTTGTAATTTTATAATACTATTAATATATTAATTTAACTTATTGGCTACCATATTTATAATAAGTAATATTAATATAAATATAATATAAAATAATCACTTGATAAACAGCCTTAGCTTAGAATCGTTTTTCGTATACAATGATATTATATCATTGAACTCAGATTTAATATCATCCATTAAGCAATGAACCATTTGTAACCTTCTATACAGGAGAGTGACATCCACTTGCCCACCTTTTTTATTTTTACTTTATAATCTTTTAAATATTGCATCTATATAAAGTATATAATATTATATTTTAATTTATATTTTTGCCAATTTAGTATAGGAAACATAATATTTTCAATTTTCAATCCTCGTTAAATCCAAATTGTTGTAGTTTAAATTAACATAATATATAATATTATACATAATAATATATTATCGTAATATAAAACAAAATATTTTTTATATTATCACTATACATATATTAATTTTTTTTTATTAATAATGTGGTTATTATAGATACTAATTAGTGTTTAAAAGATATTTGTTCAATAATTTTCATGTGGTTGTGAGACTTGAGTGATATTGTTGTCTGGGGATTTTTTTTCCCAGTGATTTTTATTCAGGGATTCATGTTAAAGATTTATTACATAGAAAAATGTAATGATTATATTATGATTATAATCAACTATATAAATCATAATAAAAAAAGAATAATATTGTATTTAGTTGTATAGTGAGTGATATATTGTAGTATGTGGATTTTTTCCCGGGGTCGTTCGTCGGGGGATTTTTATTCCGATTACCCTTTAACATATCCATAACCATAAATACAATATTATAAAATATACTAGTTTAATAATTTGTATATACTCTTATAGTTTTATGTCATAATAATATTTAATAAACTAATACACATTTGCTTCAATTAATTTTAACAATTATTTTTCATTAATTATTAAATAATTTTATTATATTATTATGCATATAATTTATTATAGTTACTAGGTAATACATTTATTTTATTAAAAGTTAACTAGAAAACAAATTACATATATAGAGTTTACAATAAAATATAATACTTTCATCATTTTTAAGATAAAGTCAAATGAAAAAAAAAAAACCGCAAAAAAGTTTTCCATATTGAAATATAGATAGGTACTTATATTGTTTAAAAATTTTAAATTATAAATTGTACACTATAATAAAAAAAGTGTTATGTCTTAAGTTGGTACGGGATTTTTTTTTCCTTTGACGGGGCTTTTTTACCGTATTTTGATATCAAGGTTTTTTTTCCCTAGCCTTTTTTTTTCCGATTACCGTATATTTATATAAAATATATAACGTCACGATGTTAGCTTTCTGTACTTGAAACGCCCTAATACATTGTGTATGTATTATTATATTGTCAGTATGACTGAATGTATCAACTATACGTATGATAATTACATTTTGAAACACATTTATTTTTTATATATTTAAAATGAGAAGACGAAAAAAAAAATAATATCACTCAAAACATTTTATTATATACGTTTATGTTACATAGATATATAATATAAATTATAAACATAATATGGATAGTTGTTCTACAAACGGTTGTGAACACCTAGATACTAACTTAATGTGGTTCAACATACCAAGTAGGATTGCCCACATATGTGGCTTAGTTGTGTAGTGATCCCTCACTAACGCCTATATTTGAGTGACCGACGTCTGTAGTTGGACCAGGTTGATCAAAAGGAATAAGGTTTTTCGAAGAGAGACAAAGGCGCAATGTTAAATGAAGTATTTATTATAATTGAGTTAAACTTGTTATAAAATAAAATAAAATAATTGTTACAAAATGTTAGAGAAATTTGAGGACAGCACGTTAAGTAACTGCCCGAGAACTTAGTTAAATCTACTTGTAGTTACTGGGAATGCACTTAGCCTGGCGGCGATGTAGAGTGCGCGGACTCTACGACCAGGTAAGTACTACATGTAGGGATGTGAGACTAATTCTGATTCTAAGGTGTACAGAGACTCATATTTATATGGTTCTCTGTACTCCCTGTT